CCTGAACATCACCTGTAAGAAAACCCAACTTCCCTTTGCCCTCTAGAATAAGTCGAACATTTTCTGACCATTCAACATAGTTTGAGCCATCCAATTTCTGAACATTAATCTGGAGAGAGTTATTTTGACCTCCACCTCCTGAGTTACTATAACCACCATCAAATGGGTAGCCATAACCGGACCCAGAAAGGTTTTTGTTGGGATCACCTCTGCCATAACCTAACCCACCATTAAAATTGTTGTTTGTCATGAAACTGGGCATTTCTGGCATGGTAGATCCACTTCCTCTGCCAGAATTGTTGTTGGTGCCACCGGAAATGACGTTGGTTCCGCCGTCAGAATTGTTGTTGGCGCCGCCGCCTCCACCTCCACAACCTCTTGGAGGAGGTGGTGTTTAGGTAGGGTTCATCATAGTTTGGATCGGGCGAGCCAGATAAAAGAACGGGTCGTCAAAAATTATTTTATGTGGCCCTAGTTAGGGAAAGCTTTACAGTATCACCCTAGCCCTAACAGAGGTCATGATACCATGTAGAGAAGCATATGGGTGATAATTATCTATTATTTTATTATGAAGGAAAAAGGGCTCCTTTTATAGACGAGAAAATACAGAGTCAACTCTTTTATTTTAGGAGTAATATAATGACTCTTAAATAAGAAAATAAATAATATTAAATAAGAAATATATCAACATTTCCATATAAGAATTTTTCCAATTCAAAATACCATCACAATGTAGTGTTATATTTGCAAGGAAAAATACCCTTTTTAATTCCGTAATTTTAGATCGGGGTTCATTTTGGTCCCTCAATTTTTAAAACGACCATTTTGGTCCTTCAACTTTTCAAAATGTGTCACATTAGTCCTTTTCGTCTAAATTTTACTAACGACATCAATCATTTACTGACATGTAATCTTAGAGACGGAAAAACATACACTATATATTTTTTCTGGATTTTAATTTAATTCTTCATCTTTTTTCCTAAAACTAAAAACCCTTTTTTTAATCTTGAACTAAAAACTCATTTTTTTCTCAAATTACTCAATTCCTCAAAACCACCAATTATTGAATTTTTATTCATTAAAGATGAGCGAAGACAAAATCTTGTTGAGCAGTTGGATATGTTCAACAAGCTAATTCATGATCTGGAGAATATCGAGGTTAGTATTGATGATGAAGATGTGCATTGTTATTGTTGTTGTTGTTGTGTGCTTTACCATATTATCATGCTCACTTCAAAGAAACTCTCTTGTATGGAAGAGATTCCTTGACCTTTTAAGAAGTTCAATTTGCCTTGTACTTAAAGGACTTGAACAAGAGGAAGGAGAACAAACCATCATATGTTGGTGAAGGTTTATCTATTAAAGGTAAATTCTCGAAGAAAGATGGAAAGTGTGAAAATAAAAAAGGTAAAGGTCAACAGAAATATTATGGTGGTGATACTTCGACAATTAGATGTTATCATTATAAGAAGGAGGGTCACATATGAAAGTTGTACCCTGATCGACATAAAAATCATGGTGTCAAGGACAATGGTAATGCAGCCATTGTGCAAGATGATTTTGAATCATATGATGTTCTTGTGGTATCCATAAAACCCATTGTCGAAGACTGAGCTATGGCACAAGATACTTGGCCATGTTAATGAAAGATGCTTGGTCGAATTGTTTAAACAAAATCTGCTATGTGGTGCCAAGGTTGAAAAGTTGGAATTTCGTAAACCGTGTGTATTTGGTAAATCATGTAGGGTGGAGTTTAACAAGGGTAAACAAAGAACACATGAATCTCTTGATTATATTCATTCTGATCTTTGGGGGTCTGCAAGATGTCTTTCATATTCAGTTGCAAGGTATTTTCTATCCATAGTTGATGATTATTCCAGAAAGTTATGGGCATTCATTTAGAAAGCTTAGGATAAAACTTTTGAAAAATTTAAAAGTTGTAAGACTCTGGTCGAAAACTAAATTGGCAAGAAAGTCAAGAGGTTTAGAATAGATAATGATCTTGAATTTTTCAATGAGACATTCGACAACTATTGTAACGTGTCTGGTATTGTAAGGCACATAACTACTCTAGGTACTCCCTAACAAAATGGTTTAGCTTAAAGGTTTAATCGAACCATTTTAGAAAAAGTTAGATGCATGTTGATTAGTGTTAAATTGAAGAAGGTGTTTTGGGCGGAGGCTATTTTGGCAGCAGCATACCAGATAAATAGACGTCCCTTTAGTGCCTTGGGGATGAAGACACTTGAAGAAGTATGGTCAACACATCCACCTAATCTCAATAGACTTAGAGTATTTAGATGTGCAACCTATGCTCACATTAAGCAAGAAAAGGACGAACCTAGAGCCCAGAGATGCATGTTCAAGGGGTACCATGAAGGAGTCAAAGCTTATAGGTTGTGGTGCCTAGAGCCAGGTCATAGAAGGTGTATCACAAGTCGAGATGTAGTTTTGAATGAAGCAAAAATGGAGTTCAAGAAAACTAATGATGTTGGTTGACTTTAATGATGTGTTATCACCTGTTGTGAAGCACATATTTGTTTGAATGCTACTTGCCATGCTGGAAAAGTTCGACCTTGAGCTGGAATAGACGGATGTGAAGACTGGTTGCTTTCTTGTATGGTGATCTAGATGAAACAATGCCGCTATGGCAACCTGAAGGGTATGCAGAACAGGGAAAGGAAGATTATGTGTGCAAGTTGAATATATCTTTATATGTACTAAAACAATCTCCTCGACAGTGGAATAGAATATTCGAAAAGTTCATGGCACACATAGGTTTTACTAGAAGTCAATTCGACCATTGTGTTCACTTCATATTTTTACCTGGAAATTCACTTGTTGTTTTATTGCTTTATATGGATGATATTCTCATAGAAAGAAACAGTGTTGAGGATGTAATAAATGTGGAGGATGAACTCAATAAGGAGTTCGACAAGAAAGATCTAGAAGCTGCCTCCAGAATTCTTGGGATTGACATCCAGAGAGATATAAAGAAATCGAGATTATACTTATCTCAAGAGACATACCTGAAGAAGATTCTCGACAAATCTGATATGCCAAATTCAAATCCATTTGTAACACCGACTAATCCTTAATTCAAGTTGAGTACGACTCAAAGTCCTAGTACTGAAGTCGAAAGAGCCTATATGAATTCCAGAAAATATATTTTTGGATATGTTTCCACTATGTTTGGCACAACAATCAGTTGGAAAGCTATGCTTTATAAGGTTGTCGCCTTATCAACCATTGAAGTAAAATATATTGCCCTCACTAAAGCTGTGAAAGAAGCATTGTGGCTTGAAGGTTTTGCTAAGGAGCTGAAAATTCAAGGTCGAGTTATCACTGTTAAATATGATAGTTAAAGTGCCATACATTTGTCGAAGAATTTAACCTATCAATCAACGAATCAAGCACGTAAATGTGAGACTGCATTTCATTAGAGAAAAAATTGAGCATGGAGAAGTCCAAGTGCTGAAGGTTTCGACAGATCACAATGTTGTTGATCTGATCACCAAGACATTGTCAAGTTGCAAGTTCTTCCACTGTATGCAGTTGATAGAGCTGCATGAAGAAAGCTAGTTTGTTCCTTTGATGTTGTAGAATTTGTTTTAAGGTGGAGATTTGTGAGATTTTAGATCTAACTGTAGTATCTCGACAATGATGGGTTTCTTGGTTCGATAGAGATTGAGCATGTTGTCGATGTTTATTTACATGCTGATGTCAAAGTCGTGCATGTTGTAGTCAAATTATGTTCTAGCACGCAGTAGTCGATAATGCTAGGTTTGTTAGCATGTCGAATTGGGCGTGTTTAAACTCAATTGTTTAAGTTAGCTTGTAGCCTAAGTTAGCTTGTTAGTCTATAAATAAACTAGTTCTCTCAAGTTGTTGGGAAAGATTGATTGTTATTATTCACTTGTAATCTGTAAACCCTAATAGAGAAAATGAATAGAAAAACAGTTACAAGTCATCTTAGTTTTCTTCTTCTTCCCTCTTGTCTCTCTTTTGTGAAAACCTAATGTGTTTCTTGTATTTATTCAAGAAACTCATAATTTTTGTTTGTTCTTGACAGCACTCCATTACAACATAATCCAATTACTCTTGGATAAAAATTAATATTTAAATACAAAGAAAAACTAATAACAAAATATGAAATAATAATTTATGATTCTAACAACCATTACTAATTATTCTCTCTATTTCAAAACGACTATCTTTTTAATTAAAAAAATTTGTTTCAAAATAATTGTCATTTTCACTTTTCAATGTAGTAATGATTACTATTTTTTTCAATTGTATCATTTACTTTTTACTTTCTACACTACTTCTAATATATTAATAGGGTTAATTTTATAAAAGTGTAATGACAATATCATTACATTCTTTAATTTTTATACAAAAATCTTAAACCATTGTCGTTTTGAAACGAATAGAATATTAACCAAGTGAAAACAAATAGGAAGAAGAATAAGTAGTAAGGTGAAAAATAGAAAACTAATAAGCTTAAAAATGAGAAACTAACTTTGATGATCATTAGCTCGACTCTGGGTTAGGAAGCTAGTTCAATCATGCTTACCCAAAACCATTGTAGAGGGGACAATCAAGGAAAAGAGCTTTAATACTTAGACAACACAATCAAAGTAGATTTAGGATCATATTCAGTCAGACAAGGGAACAATAAAGTTGATTATTAATTGGTCTTAAGCACAAAGATTGTTCAGATTAAGTGGTCTTAAATTTATTTAATTATTTATAAAGTTTTAGTATATTTTGTTTATTTATTAAATTTAAAATATGTAGATGATTCTTTTTACAATGGTGACTTTGTAATTAAATACAATAAATATTATATCATAGTTCATACCAGACACATAAAATAACAATAATTAAAAAAATATTATAACATAATGGAGCAAAATGATTCATATCACTTACTGTAACAATAAACATATAGAAAAACCATCAACTTATTATAATCAGTGTAGAATACTTAATTCATACTAATATGTAGGGTATTGATGAATGCAATGAAACCATGGTCCCTTATGAGCCTCACCAAATATTGGCCTAATACACTTCAAAACCACACTGCAACACTTAGTCCCACTTCCAACTCCAAGTACCAAAATTTGTTCCCCTTTATGTACTCTTTCCTTGCCTTCCAAGTAACAAAGTTGATACCACAATGATGAAGAATATTGATTTCCAAACCTATGCAGTGTCATCAAAGCAGCTTCAATCTCTCTCTCACCAAGATTCAACTTTTTTCCTACTTCTTTCAAAGCTCCACCATAAGGTAAACAGAAATGATCTATCACTCTCTTTATATCAGGTTTTATAAACTTATGTCTTTTCACAGAAACAATATACCAAATTTTCTCATAAATTGACAACATTTGAGAACTCAAAATGGAAATATTTGAAACAAGTGCTTCACCAACTACCTCAGGTATGTTTCTATTAAGTGTAAACCCAAGTTTTCCATCTGAATCTTCTTCCTTTGTAGCAGAAAAATAAGCCTTATCATCAAAGGCTCTTTGTGTTCTAAGTGTCCTAATTAGCTTGTATTTTGCGGTTTTACTTGCTTCTTTTTTGTTTGACAGAAGAATTGCTGCACTTCCCATCCTAAAGAGACAGTTGAGAAGCAACTTGGATCTTTCTTTACCTCTATACCAATCATTCGACAAACTCTCCGCGCTTAGAACAATAGCATTAGAGTTTTTGTTCACTCTAAGAAGATTGTAAGCCAAATCAATACAAAGGGCACTAGCACTACATCCCATGCCAGAGATATTATAGGTTTTAATGTCACTTCTCATAGAATATTTGTTAACGATCATAGATGTTAAAGAAGGCGAGGGACAAAATCCGCCGCAGTTGAAGATAAGTATGTTTATATCAGAAGGTGAAAGGTTGGTTTTTTCGAAAAGATCATCCATGATAGGGAAAAGAACCATGTGAACTTCTTTGATGGATTCAGTATGATGAGTTCTTGGTGGAATGTAGTGTAAGGAAGGAGGGAGACAAGTCTCTTCACTTTGGCCTGAGGAATGAAGGATTTTTTTCATGAAAGCTATGGTTTCGTTATCGAGACATGATTCAGACAAAGAAGCGTTTTCAAGAAATGTTGAGGAAGGTGTTCTACAAGAGCTTGGTGGTTTAAGACATGAGAAATCAATGAGGTAAATAGGAGAGGGATTTGAGAACAATTTTTTTAGAAGGAAACAAAGTAGGAGGAGAAAATATAGAAGAAGAAAATGGAAGAGAGTGCATCTTGAAAGGAGATAGTTTGATAAGAGAGTGAAGTGAGTATCTTTGTTGAATACACTGACATGGTTTTGCTTGGAAGTAGCTTCCATTAGTGTGGCAAATAACAGGGTTAAGGTTTAATCATCTTTCATTTGTATTCCTTTTATATAATTTCATGTGTAACTTTTGGTGTGCTAATTAATTATTATTTATTTTGTGAGACTAATAGTTGAGTTTATTTGCGAAAGTATAGTACTTTTCTCTTGAACTCGCCAAATCCGGTTCAATTCAACAAAGGGTGCTTTAGTCCCTTGACATAAAGGTGGACTTTCACTTCTACACACCGCATAGGAACAAGACCTTCTCTTTCCTATCGATCGTAGATCATATCTAACGGTTGCTCACACTCCGTCGGTTAAATTGAGAACGGTTATAATTGTCTCTTCTATATAAGTGTAATTCTGAGTTACACTAAGATTTTTTTTACACACACTTTCATTGTTGCACCTCATTAAAACATCAACTTGAGCGTTGAAGTGATATATACATGTAGTCCTATCTAATCACCGAAGACCATAACTATCGTACTAGAAGCTTCAGTGTGGTGGTCATCTTCAACATTTTAACTATTTTTGTTTCATTATGGAATAATGTGAGAGTCATCTTTTGATTCTCTCAATTTTTTCACCATGTTTTCCTAGTTTCCGTTGTTGCACCACCGCAACCGGTTTCTCATTACAATTATGGCAATCATATCCATTTCATAAGTACTTTTTCTACTACCTTATTGAGTGGCTGCTCTAAGAACAATTCACATTTGCAGTATGATCATCGATATTTGATCAAACGTATATGTTCCTTAAGACAAAGATGCATCAATAATATCTTCCAGTAATGAAAATTTGCCTTAACAATAATATCTTCACGCCTCTTCAATTGCACTATCCCATTTCATTTGTGTTGGGGTTGATTAAAAATATATATGTTGAAGAAGTCTCGCACTTAGTTTTGTAAAAGAAGAGGGAGTCCAATGCTTTATAAATTATTCAAGTTTTTCGTTATAAGATGTACCAGTCAAAAACACTTTAAACTTGTATTTGACTTTTTATATTTTTCTTATACTTTTGGTTAAAGTGTTGCAAGGAGTAGTTAAATATTTGCTCGGGAGAGTGTGAGTTTATCGGGACCTTGGGGTGGTTAAGGGTAGTCTATATGTTGTAACTATTTTCATATTGTGTTATTATTTGGTTGTCATTTGACAACGGTTATGATTTTTTCTCCGGTTTTAAAATTTTCACGTTAATCTCTTGTGTTGTTATTGTGTTCTTCTTTTTCTCTCTATGCAATTGTTTTTCCTAACAATTGGTATCAAGAGTCTTGGTTTGGTGGGGTACAAATTTTTTAGTATGCTCTCTGTTGTACCCCAAAATTTGCCCTCCCATTTCCTCAACATTTTCTCATCACAAGGCCCTTGGAGCTCAAGATCCAGTTAGGGTTCCCTCTGCTCAAGACTTCTCCTAGCACTGTTGACCCAAATTAGGGTTTGTGTTTGCACAAAGATGTTTTCACCTAAAATGCCTAAAATGACTTTCATGCTTCATATTGGACTCCCAAGTTTATCCATATCAAGTTTCAAGCCTTGATTCCAATCTTTGCCCAGTCAATTGAACAGTTGACCTAGAAATCAGCTGTATTGGGGAAAAAGTCAACAGTGGTCAATTGACAGTCAAACCTCATGATTTTTGACCCACATCAACATAATGAACTCATATGAACCATTTGATCAAGTTTGGATCACAATTCCACAAGAAATTTGATCAGATCACCAAAAGGGCAAAATGGTCATTTTTAGGGTTTTGACTGCACAAAGGCAATTTTTGACTGTTTGACCTAGCCAATGGCAAATCAAGCTCACATATGGACTCAAGGACCCAATGGAATTGTCTTGACATGTTCAACAAGTTCAAAAGATCCCAAATGCACAAGATTGACAGTTGAATTTTCCAGTCAATTGATCAATTTTTGACTGTATACTGAAAAGTCAAACTTTGACTTTTTGGTCAAAATCAAGGGTCAAGATTTATTTTTCATCAAAACATGCCAAATCATGAAACTTGTTCATCAAGAAATCAAGAATTGCAAATTAGGGTTTGAAATGAAGATTTTTCATAACTTAGAATTTTTCTAAGTTATGAAAAACCCTAATTTTTTCCTAACTTTGTCCCACTTTCTCATCAAGATGCATTTGGATTCAAGGAAAAGTCAAAACATGAAATTTGCAGCCCATTGCAAAATCTACAACTTTGATTCACAAAGTTTCCTCAAAAGAAGCTTGTAGCTCAAGTTACAATTTTTGGAACAAGGGTACCAAACCATTCTTAACTTAGAAAAATTTTGACCTATTTTAGGCAGGATTTTTGTCTAACTTCATGACAACTTTTCACATGCTTCCACTTGGAATTTCAATTTGCATTACAAATATGGATTGTATTAAACATTCCAAGCTTTCCAAAATGTCCAAGAACTCATCAAACAACCTCATGGTTAGGGAGAATCGAATTTGGCAAGTTGGGAAAAAGTCACTTTGTTTATGGCCACTTTACATGTTCATACACTTAGGCAATTTTGAACTCAGCTTGCATTCCTTGATTACAGGTCCTATATCCCATTTGCACTCATAAATTTAATGCTAACTCATTGTGCCAAGACCTTATTTTATGTGTTCAAGCATTGTATGCAAAATAAAGCCATAAGTAGAAAAAGCAAATTAGCCATTTTAGAAAAGTTGAACTTTATGTCAAATGCAAATCCAAGAAGCATAGGCACAATCTTTTGAGCTGGTATTTTGTACACAAATCACTCTGACCAAGAGAGATTAGTGCATCACAATAGAGGGGCATGTGAAAGCTAGAAACACCAAGTTGATTTTCTTGCTTAAAGTTGAAGTAACCTTGCATAACAACGCCCAACTCTCATTTCTGCCAAGACCAGCTTAAGCCAAGTTATTGTACACCTTCTAAACATCAAACCTAAGCTGAAACACGAGCCAACCATCTCCATTGCCTCCTCAAACACAGAATCACCATTGAACTGCACAAAACATGGCATCCCTGCAGTTTGAGTGGCATAGTTCATTTCCCTCGTGCATTCTTGCTAAAACCACTTCAAACACTTTCCCTACCATCCATACAAACTGTTCCAAGCCCTAAACACGACCTGTAACATCCCTAACCAACATCACCATTTTTATTTTTCTGTTTTGCAGTTGAAGTGCCATAGCATGATTCTCTTGGTTTCCAAGCAAACTAAAGGTTGGAATAGCATCCCTGGACATCAAGCAAGCTATCCAAATCCTTATCTTGCCCTGAAAGCTCCTCCATTGCCAGACACGATTCCAACTGAACAGGTAAGTTCATGAACTTCTATCTCTCAATGTAGGAAGAATTAGCTCTAAGTTTGTGAATGAAAAATGTCATGTTCATGTCCCTGAAGCTATACATATCTTTACTTTCCATTTATTTTGCCTGTGCTATGAGAATTTGAGGTCTGAACATTGATAAAAAGTTAGGTTAAGATTTGGGAATGGAGAAATTCTCTCTCATTTCTGAGAGTTAGGATGAGTTCTTTATATGTCCAGAATCGTGGCTTGATGCTTAACACTTTTCATGTTATGAGTTTGTGCTAAAAGTCCAGGAATCAGGAGTTGTGTTTGAAGCAAGAAAAGGCGCGTGTTTTCAAAGGTTTTGTCTGAAGGTTGAAGACAAAGTCTTCTTGGACTGGGCCTGAGTTGATTTCTTTTTTGCACCATGCTTTTACAGTTGCACCCCCTGGCCCATTTTGAGATATCTTTATTATTTCTGATTTTTTTCCTTTTGATTTTGTTTTTATATTTTTGTCTAAACATGAAAAAACATTAAAATTATTTTTCTCACATTTTTTTGCATTTTTTTGACATTTATTTTGTTTCTCTTAGTTTTGTACATAAATAATACATAAATACTATTATTTAAAATAACTAAAAAATAATACAAGCATATTTTATTTCTGATTTTTATTTTATGTTATCTCTTGAAAACATTGTATAAAAAATACTTTTTTTTAATAATATTAAATAGTTTATTTTTTTGTACATATTTAATATATTTAGTAAATAATACAAATACCTATATATTTATTAGAATATTTAGGATAAAAATACAAAATATATACATTTTTATTTTTATTAATATTTAACATTAAAAATACCTTTTTGACAAATATACTTCTTTTTTTTTATTTTATTTTATTTATTTTTGTACATAACTAATAAATAATATATATATTAAATAATTAATACCTTTTATTTGCAAAATTAGGGTTTTGCCCTAAACATGAAAAATACCCAAAATTAATACTTTTTATTTTTGTTTTCTTGACACATAAAAAACACTTTTTTACATACACATAAAAAATCATTTTTGCATCTTGCATATTTATCTTATTTTATTTAATTATTGCATATTAAATAATTTGTATAATTCCATTTGGATTGTAATAGTTTAGGATTTAATTTCTTGCTAAAATATCCCCATTTGAACATTTGTACCCCCCTTCCCATATGTTGTGTTGTAATAACTTAGGAACTTTATTTTTCGCACTTTAAAGTTTTCTAAATATGCCATGATAGAATTAGGGTTTGTATGCAAATCAATTAACCAAAAATAGTTTGACCTAAATTCAAGATAAGCAAGCATGAAAATGGACAACACTAATCACACTTGCACCCCTAGGGTATTCCACTTGTTGACTTCAATAATGGGCCATATTGCATGTTAGGTCTCTTTGGGCTAAAACAAAACAATCAAATGATCATAGTCCCTCGTTGACGCTTTCGAAAGTTGCCTAAAAATGATCAAGTCCCTTAAAGGAAAAATTGCCCAAAGATACTTGGCACCATTGCAATTATGGTCTAAACAATGACCCACGCCCGTCCCGTTCACATCCTAACACAAGATTGTCCACCAAATGCAATGGTGGAACAAAATTGTTAAAAGGGTTAAAACATAGCAATAATCTTTGAGAACTTTAGGGTAGATAGCTCTTAAGTACTTGTCAACTTGCAAAACAAAAA